TCTCTCTGCCCCTCCCTGACTTGTGCTTGCTCTCTCTCTCTTTTCTCTCTTTCAAAGTAAATAAATAAACATTAAAAAGAAAAATGACCTAGGATCCTGGACAGTAGTCTCCCCACAGCCCTATCACTCCACTCAAACTTTCCCTTCCAAGTCCCTACCCCAAATGAGCATAAGCCTTGCCTTCTCCACCCTATTGTCCCATGATTCTCTTTGCCTGCAGTGCCTTTCCCATCCCCACCGTAATACCTCTGCCCCCTTTAGGATCCACCCAAAGCTCACCTGTAGTGACGATGCCTTTCCTAATGCCACTAACCCGCCTTTCCCCCTCTAAACTTATGTCTGCCATTGAGTCCACATTTCACCACTTGCCCTTCAGCCCAGTGTCTTATGAATATAGTATCCTTTCAATATTTCTGAAAGTGCCTTTGTCCCTAAAACTACTCTGGCATGTCACATAGGCTGATACATCATCTCTCCGTCTTCCCAAGAGCCTTGAGATATGGAAAAACAGGTATTATCCCAGCTGTTTTATTACAGCCCCCTTTTCACATGATAAAATTGAGGCTTAGAATAAGTTAAGTAACCTAGGAGGAACCTACTTCCTACTAGAAGTAGCAGAGTTGGGATCTGAACCTAACTCTGTATACCTACAAGATTGTGATTATCTTCCAGTTTAACCAAAATGGCAAAGAAGTTTGCTTCATCTTGAGTCCAACTCCCAGTGTCCGGCATTAGCTCCCCAAAGTGCTGTGCTGAAGAGCCAGACCCAGGAAAGCAAACTATCCATGAGGGAAAAAGCAAGATCTGCCATGAGAATCTGAAGCAGGCTCCAGGCTCCGAGCTGTCAGCACAGCCTGATGCGGAGCTCGAACCCACAAACCATGAGATCATGCCCTGGGCCAAAGTCAGACAATCAACTGAGCTACCCAAGCACCCCTCATGCTAACTTTCTTGAACTAGAAGAGACTCTTAACTAATTTGTATATTCCACAGCGCTTATAACCTAGTATTTAGGGGTGCCTGGGTGGCTTAGTTGGTTAAGCGTCCGACTTTCGCTCAGGTCATGATCTCGTGGTTCATGGGTTCGAGCCCCGCGTCGGGCTCTGTGCTGACTGCCAGCTCAGAGCCTGGAGCCTGTTTCAGTCTGTGACTCCCTCTCTCTCTGACCCTCCCCTGCTCACGCTGTCTCTCTCTCTCTCTCTCTCCTAGAAATAAAAAAATATTAAAAAAAAAATAACCGAGTATTTAACATATAGTGCATGAGCAATAAATATTTACTGCTTGATAGTGATGTCAGCATCCTCATAAGGTGCTGCATCACGGAAACTGCATGAGAAGCCTGCAGACGGCCATTCTGGGGGAGTTGGAAATGAGGAGCTCTGCTCTGGCCCAGCTATGCAGCTTTCAGCTGGTAAACAAATTTAAACTAACAGGCATGCAAAATAAAATGTGAATTTTAAGGAAAATTGTTTTATCCAAAAGATGATCACTATAAAAAAAAATAAGTGAATACTTTTCATATGAAGTACTTGGTACAGAAAAACCGTATGCCATGCTACGCCGCATGTGGTGGTTTCTAACTAAGGTCATGTGTCTCCTCTGGAGCTCCCCATGGGTGGTTGCAGCTCCAGGTACCCCACCACCCCCTCCTCACACCCCCACCCTCGTGATCAATGAACCAGAAAGGGAGAGAAGGTGTTTCTGGCATGTGCTGTTGTAAATTACTGAGACAAGATTACTAATTACCACCATGCTCCTACAAGGGAGCCTTCCCCCTACCCCCTCCCCCCCACCAACACCCGCCCTGGCTTCCTCCCTGACCATCTCCTGCCTCAGGCTGGGAGTTCTCTCTTTCCGTTTCATCTCTTTTCCATACCTCGGCATGGGGATGTGTCCAGGAACCCATGCCAAAACCAGCAAATTTATCACCATGCTAATGACAGCAAGCTGCATGCTGAGTGAATTCTGCAATCCCCCTCACTTCCTTCTCTTGCCAAAACCTGCGGAAATTCAAGATCCAGCCGATTCCAGAGACTGTTATCTTCACATGAAGAATGACTCTGTTAGAAAATGCAATTAGGTATCAGCCATAAGGCTATTTTTAGAAGCTTGTTTGGGAAGATCTCAAAAACAAAAATCACCATGTGGTAGGTGATGTTAACCAATCCACCAAAATTGAGCATCACTACATACATTTTAAACCTACCTTTATCAATATGTAGCATTGTCAAGGGGATGGCTCATTGTTCTGGGAGTAGGTATCTCTTTGTGGAGTTTACAGAAACTAACAGTGCTGGTGGCAAGTCCTTTTCTTTCTTTACACAAGCAGCTGTCCCCAGGCTGTGGAGAATCCTTAACCCTGTCATTGCAAAATACCTTCCCCGGGGTTTGGGGAAGGGAGCCCCAGTGGGAGCAGGGGAAATTGTGACAGACAAGGCTGAGCACCTACAGGGATAAGGCGTGAGGTTAGGAGGCTTGTCATTGAGGAGACACGTCATTAGGGAAGCCTCTGGTCAAGGAGACAAGATGTCGGGAGTCTCGTGGGGAAAGTAGTCTCCCAAGGAGGAACACGGCCCAATGTGTCCTCCAAAGCAAGTCACCATCCAGTCTCCCCAGGAAGGAGGTAGCCAGGCACCAGGGTGGCATGAGAGAGCCCTTAATGACCTACTCCAAGTGGAGAGCTGTGTCTAAGTGGCGTGTTGTATTTGTCACAGTTCTGCCTCCTTTTATTTGAAGAATGCACGCGCTATGTCTCAGCCCAGCACCACCCCTGTGCTCCCACCTCTTCCCCTCCACTGATGTAGACAATAAAGGTCATGTTGCTCAGAGTGGGGACAAGATCCCATCTGTGGCTGTGGCTGGCCTGGGTTTCAGGTCATTTTCCTGCTGGTACCAGGCTGGTCTGGTTCTCACCCTGGAGCCAGATTTCCACCTCTCCACCTCCTGCTCGACACATTCCCTAAATTCTTACCCTCTCCCACTTGGAATTAAGGTGCAGTCATTGCTTGTGCCCAATCGTTGGCTCCCTCTTTGTGCACAGTCCTCTCCAGTGGGGACACGTGGAAACCTAGGCACAGACTCGCACTATGACACGCCTGGAGATGGTGACCTCCAAGAGGAGCTGAAGGAACTGATGGCATTTAACCCAGAGAGGACAAGTCCAAGTAGAGAAATCGTGGCATCCTCAGATCCTCTCTGCTAGGGAGAGAAGATCCCTCTTCTGTGCTGTCCCAGAGAGCTGACCAGGTCCAAATCTGGAAGGTATCGGGAAGCAGGTATCAACATCACACCAATAATTCCTTCTATACAATTTAATCAGTGGGACAGCCTGGATCCATACAAGTCTTACAAGTAGAAGGGATCCCTGAATTAGGTGCGACGTTAAAGTGGATGACCTCTTCTGTCCCTCCCAGTCATAACATTCTACAAGTGTCTTTTATCTTCCAATGAGTGACGGGGTCTCCTGTGACTGCTTCATTGTCTACTCATCTTCTGAAAACTTTGAGGTGTTGAATGTATTTTACATGAAGAAAGGAATACATTAGACAAGGGAGCAGTGAAGTTCCCAGGCTTTCTCGGAGTCCCCAGTGGCCTGATCACATCTCCCAAATGGGACATGTAATGCAGACAGCACTGACATTTTAACAAGTGAGCTGAGCCCTTGGGTATAAACAGACTCTCAAGCAGATGCTTCACCCCTCCTTCCAGCACGAAATCATAGAATTGCAGTAGAGATGGAAGAAACCTGGAGGTCACTTTGCCCCAACTCCTACCCAGGGCAAAGTTTCTTGCTTTAATACCCCATAGACTGTCACTCATCCTCTTCTCAAGCACGGTCAGAAAGGGACTCACTGCTCTGCCAGGAAATGAAGTCCAGTTTGAGACAACTTAATCCACATTGAGACAGTCTTCATTGTGAACTATTTCTTCCTCTCATTGAGCCCCTACTCTGTCTTTATTCAGCTTGACTTCTGCCCTCTAGAGTAGGAAAAAAATAAATCTGTTTTCTTGTCCAGATGACAACATTCAGATTTTTTTTAAGTTTGTTCTTTTTATTTTGAGAGGGAGAAAGAGAGAGTACAGGGGAGAGCAGAGAGAGAGAGGGAGAGAGTCCCAAGCAGGGGCCCTGTGCTGTCAATACAGAGCCCCACATGGGGCTCAATCTCATAATTCTTGAGATCATGACCTGAGCCAAAATCAAGAGTCAAATGCTCAACCAACTGAGCCACCCAGATGCCCCAATGTCCAGATTCTTAAAGACAGTCATTATCTCTGAGCCTTCTCTCCCTCCAAGTCTTTTCTTCTCATCTAAACATCTCAGATTGCCTTGAATGTTTCTTATATGCCATGGTTTTAGATCCTTCACCATCCCAGTCACAATTTTCTACAAATATTTTCTAACATTCCTTATGAAGAGTAGCCCCTAGAACAAATTCCAACTGTGGTCTGACCACTACAGAGTACATATGCAGAGTACATTACTATCACTTCCCTTCAACTACACGCTATACCTTTATTAATGCAACCTGGAATAACATGTCTCATACCCAGTGATCAACTGCTGTGTTCCTATTAAGGTTATAATCAACTAAAACCACCATCTTTTTTTATTTGACATGGTTTCATACAGCATCAGAGAAAAAAGTAGATTTAAAAGTAGCCCTATAAATTATTAAAAGATCAAATTCTGCCTTCCCCTTCATTAATAATAGACAGAACTACTGAAGGGACTAGGACCCTAACAAAGGTTATGAGTGACAAAGATCATTGAGCCCAAAGGTGAAATGCATATTTGCCTTGATGAGCCAAGTCCCCAGCATGGCAGCCTGTTCTTCCAGCACCATCCAGTGCATCAAAGGAAGGGCTCTTCTTGAAGCCATGTCCACTTTTGTCTTCCTTGCTCTATCTATTTAATTTTTGCTTGCTATGTGCTTCTGAGGCAAAGTCTTCCTCCAGCCTGTAGGAATCTCACCAGTGGTTTTCCTTTGTGTCTTTGACAGGTCACTTGAAGGAAGAAATCACCCAGCACCATATGCAGCAAGTAGCTCTAGGTGGGTACAAAGTGAAGTCTGCAGGAAGAAGGTGAAGGTAAACACAAGCTATGTGGTCTCAGACACCTAGACCCAACTCAAAGATCATCCATCCAGAACCCTCAAGAAGGTTAAGCTAGGCAAGGTTTGCAGTCGTGCAGCATCCTTTGGATGCCCCTCTTCTCTGGGACCAGTTACCCCCATCTTGAGTGTCTTCTCCCAGCTGTCAGGACCTGGCACCCCACCTTCTCAGCTGCTGCCTCATCCCCCTGACCCTTCCACCCCACACCCTAACCTAACTTCACTCTGTATCCTCGGGGCTCTACTCTGAGCTTTTCAGAGCTACTACTAACTAATCCTAACAACAACAATTGATGATGAAAAGAGCTGCTGTTTTCTGAACCACTCCTGGGCACTGCCGTGTGTGCACAGTCTCCTTTCTCCCTCACGACAGTCCTAAGAAATCAGTGCATTTTCTAGATGAAGAAGATTCAATGACCTGCCCAAAGTCACATGGCTAGGAAGTGTTGAAACTAGGATTTGAACTGAGGTCTCTGAGTCCACGCCTGGTGCTCTTAGCCCCCACGCTCTCCACTGCTAGCAGTGATGGGCTCACTTAGTACAGTAAGGATGCAAACACTGACAAGCACGGTGGTATTCTAAGAGGAACCTGGCACCTTTTAAGCAGTAGACAGCTGGAGCAAATGCCCGCTGTGATATGTGACCCAAGGCAGTCACTTCGGAGGAAAGATCAGCTCCCAAAAAGGCTGGGGGAGCAGGTATCCTGGGCAGGACCTCCATGTTTCCTCTCTAGCGGGCCTGGGACCAAACACTTAGAGGGCTCTGATTAAATAAGCAATGCATGTATTCCAAACAAAGGGTTCCCCTTGAGATGGCCTGGCCCCTGGAACGTCCTGCACTTAGAGAAATCAGGGCCTCTAGAGGGCAGGTGGAGGAAAGTCCCAGTATCATAAAGATGACCCATTGGACCCCAGGAATTTGGATAGTTAGGAAGTTCGGTTGTTTAGTTTCAATAATAATAATGATCTCATCAGATAGCCACTGGTTACGTCAGAAACACAGAATGAGGAAGCCTGAGGCACACTGACTGGAGTTTGAGCTTCCCACTATTGGCTCCGGCACTGGGAGGTCAGGTAAATGTTCCAGGACCTCCCCCCTACACCTGCCCTTTGCCAGAGATGCAGTCAGGGCATCAGAGCTGAGATTCTGCTGAGTGCCTTCTCCAGCAGCCTGGGCTCCCTGGCTGGGCCAGGGAAGGGCATGAGGACCTCTGTTGGGAGGCAGTGCCAAGGTGACCTTCACGGGTGACCTTCACAGGCCTCACGGGTAGGTCACTGGATGGGGAGTCATCCCTGAGGAGTGCCGCTGGGCCCCACATCCCCAGGCTGTGGTCTGGCCCTTTGTCCAGTCTTCAGGATGCTGAGCGACTAGAAACAATAACTGGAAAATACCAGTCTAATAATTGGGGCTTTCAGGGCTAGAGGTGCTTCATCCTCTCTGACACTCCCCCACCACCCAGCCCCAGACAGGCCTGGGCCTTTGGGAAACTGCTGCCTGTCTTTAACCACGGGCCTCTTCTTAATTCCTCTGCTCGTCTCTCTGGGAGCCTTCTTCTGAATGACGGCAGGTGTCAGCTTCAACAGGGCCCAGCTTTGCCTGAAGTAATCAGCAGACTTCAAAGGGAAAGCACTTTGGTTGGAAGTCTAATTAAGAGCATTTGAAATACCTATTTATTTTAAAAGCATACTATCCCAATTAGAGAAGAAGTGTTAACATCTCCCAGCTGCCATTTTGAGGTTAAATGCCACGTTTTCAGTCCAGACTTCTTAGGAGCTTGTCTGACAGAGTTTCAGAACCACCCGCGCTCACGTGTCCCCAGCGACCACGTGCCAGAATTCTTCTCATGGAGAGAAACCTCTCAGTGTGACAGATTGTTTACAGAGCCGTTTCCTGCCTTAACCCTCGCCCTTGAGGCTAATGTTGGGGCCAAGGGCGAGGACTCACGGCTCCGCTCTGGTGAGACTCAGAGCAGCTCAGTGTCCTTGGCTTCCTTGGGGCTTCCACTGGGGGGACGGGGCAGTGACTACATCTGCTCTTGCCCTCCCACCCCCCACCCCGTTCTCCTTCCTTTGTCTACCTCTCTCTACTTTCCCTCTCCCTCCATTCTAAGTGTTCCCTTTGGTATTGTTTCTTTCTTTGCCTCCATATTCCTAGATTTCTAGGAAAGTGTAGTTCAGGTTGGTTGGTTGTTCTGGGGCGGGGAGGGAAGAGGGGGTCCAGAGCTAAGCTGAGCAAGAGAGGTTTTCTCAGGTGTTTTGTGTGAGAATAGGTCTGTGTATGTATGATGAGGTGTATGCCCGAGAAAATTCTTAGCCTATACAGGCAACCTCATATCTCAGAGGAGCAAGGATTTAATGGTAACGTGAGAGGTGCCATGTGGAAGAGATTGTAGATCAGTGGAGGGAAGATTCAGTGGTGTACTAGAGGCAATTCCATAGCCATCGGATGAGTAACCATTACCATTTCGGAAGTTTGGAGACCTCTGGTAAAACACAGCTGCTGTTAAAAATTAAATTATAGAGAGGTACCTGGCTGGCTCAGTCGGTTGAGCATCTGACTTTGGCTGAGGTCATGATCTCACAGTTTCTGAGTTCAAGCCCTGCATCAGGCTTTCTGCTGTCAGCACAGAGCCTGCTTCAGATCCTATGTCCCCCTCTCTCTCTGCTACTCTGTAGCTTGTTCTTTCTCTCTCTCTCCCAAAATAAATAAGTAAACAAAAAATAAATTATAGAAACCTACAATTAAATAAGTCATATTAAAAAACAAAGTCGACAAATTCTCAAAATTGATCACTCCCTAACTACAGATCTTCCTTCCTCAACTTACAATGGGGTTACATCCCGATTCAGTTGAGAATATCGTCAAGTCAAAAATGCATTTAATACACTTAACCTACCAAACATCTAGCTTAGCCTGGCCTACTTTATTTTTTTAAAATATTTTATTTCAAAGAGAGAGAGAGAGAGAGAGAGTGAGCAGGGGAGGGTCAGAGAGAGAGGGAGATACAGAACCTGAAACAGGCTCCAGGCTCTGAGCTGTCAGCACAGAGCCCGACGTGGGGCTCAAACCCACGAACCATGAGATCATGACATGAGCCGAAGTCAGATGCTTACCCGACTGAGCTACCCAGGCGCCCCTGCCTGGCCTACTTTATTTATTTATTTTTTTATTATTATTATTTTTTTTACAAATAGTTTATTGTCAAATTAGTTTCCACATAACACTCAGTGCTCATCCCCACAAGTGCCCTCCTCCATGCCCATCCCCCCCTCCCCCCCACATCCATCAGTCCTCAGTTTTTGTCAGCATTCAAGAGTCTCTCATGGTTTGCCTCTCTCCCTTTCTCCCACCATTTCCCCCCTTCTTCTCCCCCTTGTTCCTCCGTCAAGTTCCTCCTAATCCTCCTATACGTGCAAACATATGATATTTGTCCTTCTCTGCCTGACTTATTTCGCTCAGCATAACACCCTCAAGGTCCATCCATGTTGCTACACATGGCCAGATTTCATTGTTTCTCATTGCCATGTAGTATTCCATGGTATAGATAAACCACATCTTCTTGATCCATTCATCTGTTGATGGACACTTAGGCTCTTTCCATGTTTTAGCTATTGTGGAGAGTGCTGCTATGAACATTGGGGTCATGTGCTCCTATGCCTCAGCATTTCTGTATCCCTTGGGTAAATTCCTAGCAGTGCTATTGCTGGGTCATAGGGGAGTTCTATTGTTAGTTTCCTGAGGAAGCTCCACACTGTTTTCCAGAGGGGCTGTATGCCTGGCCTACTTTAAACGTGCACAGAACACTTACATTAGCCTACAATTGGGCAAAAGCATCTAACCCAAAACCCATTTTATAATGAAGTGTTGAGTATCTCACTTAATTGATTGAACTCTGCGCTGCAAGGGAAAAACAGAACGGCTGTGCGGGTACTGAATGGTTGTACGAGTTCACATGGCTCCCTGTCCCTGCCCAGCATCACGAGAGGCTATCATGCCACCTGGGGGGAAATCACAACTCAAAATCCAAAGTATGGTCCCTCTGGAATGGGTGTCACTCGTGCACCAGCACAGAGCCAAAAACTCCCAAGTCGAACCGTCGTAGGTCGGGGGCCATCTGTCATTTACTACATTTTACTGTTATCCCTTCCCTTGAGGTTATTTACCACCACTGCGTCTGTATCATGGAAACACTGTCTGATGGTGTGCTGCTGCATGTCTCCTCCCAGCTCCGCATGCAGTGACAACACAATGGCAGCTTGAAATCAGCTACTGGGGCTGTTCGTGCCATAGAAATTGACAAATGTTATTATAAATCGGGGTGCTTTTTTACCCAGAGAGCTAGTTGTTCAACATTTACCACCGATGCACGGGCATACGGATGAGCGCCCGTTGAGAGGCCAGTGCTGTGCGTGTGTGTGTGCTCTTATGAGACTTCTCCTCTTCCTCGCTAAATATCTAGATCATGGTTCTCTGTTTACCGCCTACCCACAGAAGCCTAGTCCTTCTGAAAGTGAGTGGACAGGGAAACCAGGGAAGACAGACATGGGGCAGAGGAGGCATTGGGCTGAGGAGGCCCCTCCATGTAACAGCCAGAGCTTGGGTCCTTTAAGAGAGATGGCAATGACCAGTTCTATGAATATGATCAACAAATTAATGTACCTCTGGTCTTAAAAGAGGAGGGCCAACTGCTCACATCATTTCAGGAAACAAGAAAACAATGCTATTTTTTAAAAAGCTTTTTATTAAGTTTATTTATTTTGAGAGAGAGAGACAGAGAGAGAGGGAGAGACAGCATGAGTGTGTGAGGGGCAGAGTGAGAGGGAGAGAGAGAAATCCCAAGCAGGCTCTGCACTGTCAGCACAGAGGCCAATGCGGGGCTCAAACCCACAAACCATGAGATCATGACCTGAGCCCAAATCAAGAGTCAGACGCTTAACTGA